CAAACTGGTAACACAATAGAAGTTCAGTGTATATAAAACACTTTCAAAATGTCTGAAACCAGTTTAAGATAAACATAGATGGATACAGTATCAGACTTAACTGATTTAGGTGTAATCAGTTTATTGAACTTTTGTCCCAGATCCTCTCCCAAGTCAAGTTAATTCACAGTCCCCCAGCATCCCAGGATGCTTTGCATTTCCCTTGCAAATGCCCCCTTACAGGGTGGGTGGGCTAGCCCTAGCCAGCTGAGTAGGGAGGCATGTTCTACCACCCCCTGGCTTCTGGCAAGCATGTGACTGCATTTCCAGAATCAGAAGTGAATGCCTGTTCACTTGCTTATTGGTTCAGTGTATTCAGCTTAGACTAACCCGTGAAGATTGAATCGATTCAGCCTTGGGCTTTTTGAGTGTCTATACTTAGCCTTAAAGATTATAGCAACAGAGTATTACAGTATATACAATAAAGTAAAATGTTCAATAGCAGGAAATTAAACTTCTTATATTCCAGATTGTTGCTCAAGGTACTATATGAAGTGAATAACTGCTTAGATGGCTTTCACAATCTTTTTTTTTTCCTTAGAAAACTTCTATTAAACTTGTGGAAAACTTTGTTTCAGTTGCATCTGACAAGAAAGGCAGGGATGAAGATAAGGGAATAAAACAAGTTGATTCCTGCAGGGTAGATGCTACTCTGTCTTGTTTTCAAGTGTAGTCATTTGCTTTCCACATAGGCTTTTTATTCTGTGGGTTGAATGGCTTTTATTTTACATGCCAGCTGATAATGGTGCATCCCATATTAACCTCTCATTTCAAAGAGGTAAGGCACTTGGAAGTGTGGGAATAGGTTAATGATTCTTCTTTTCATTTTTATTTGAGCATTCCTTAGTTCAACGGTGAATTGCTTTTTTTACACGTTACCTTGAATGTTTTGTCATAAAGACTGTTTATTTCACTATTGGACTAATTTGTTGTAGCGTACATTAGTAGTACCCAAACAGGGGGAAAAAATCCACTTGTTGTTTTCTTTTGAGTTGCACATTATTAGTGTTTTTTTTGTTATTCCTAAATTAGAAATATTGTACAGGACCCAGAGAATGGTTTAAGGCAGCGGTGCCAAACATACAGCCTGCAGACTGGATCTGGGCTGCTGGAGTATCGTAAGGCTACCAAAAAAGTATAGCCCTGGGCTAGATCTGGCCCCTGAAGGAACCCTATGGTTTGGATCAAGCCAGGGGCATAGGGCACGTTTGACACCCCTGGTTTAAGGAAACAAAAACATTAATATGCAATGAAATATTGCAGATTTTGTTATTGCAAACAGTAGATTTTCTCACATAAAACTCGCATGGGTGTGGGCAGAGTATGCTGTGGCAGCAACAGCTTGGCTGGGGCCAGCTGAATTCCCAGCAGATAAGGCTACTGTCCTCTCCCCTGACTTCGGAATGTGGCACCCCTGCCCTGCTCTTGGAACCCATGTGCTTCCCCCCACCCCTGCTCTCAAAACCTGACCCCCGACTTCTTCTGGATCCCTCCTGTTCTTCTACAGTGTTATGCCCCTGTTGGGCTGTCCCAGAAGTCCCCTGATGCTGTAGTGTTTCTTCTGTTTCCTGTACTTCATAGGTCTTGCTATGCTACATTTTTGCTTCCTAGAATATCTGACGCAGCTGATCTTAAGGCTTACCTAATCTCTTCTCTTTATTTTGTAATAGAAAATTAGGGTTGGAAAGGATCTCAGGAGGTCATCTGGTCCAACCCCCTGCTCAAAGCAGGACCATCACCAATTAGATCATCCCAGCCAAGGCTTTGTCTACCTGGGCCTTAAAAACCTCTAAAGATGAAGATTCCACCACCTCTCTGGGTAACCTGTTCCATCACTTTACTACCCTCCTAGTGAGAGAGAGGTTTTTCTTAATATCTAACCTAAATTTCCTTTGCTGCAAATTGAGACAGTTGCTCCTTGTTCTGTCATCTGCCATCACTGAGAACAGTCCAGCTCTGTCCTCTTTGCAACCCCCTCTTTGCATTTGAAGGCTCCTATTAAATCCCCCCTTGGTCTGGTCTTCTCCAGACTAAATAAGCCCAGTTCCCTGAGCTGCTTCCCAGAAGTCATTTTCCCCAGCCACTTCTGTTGCCTGCTGCTGGGACTCCAATTTGTCCACATCTTTTCTACAAGGGGGTGGGGGTGGCATAAAACTGGACACAGTACTCCAGATGTGGCACTCCATTTTGGTCTGTGTTTGACTAGCTCTTGGTTTTCCCTGTCTTCAAACTTAGTTCTTACCCCTCAGACTTTTCCAGTGCCACCACGTTATATTTGACTGCCTTCACATCTCATGCTTCCTGGAGTTGCTTCACGTGGAGGTTGGTGTTACAAATGCCACTATGACATCTGTTCCAGAAACTCTAGCACTGAGTTGTTATACTAGTCCATCTTTATTTAGCAGGACAATGTCAGTCATAATCTTGTCAGTGCTTCTTGAGATCAAACATTGAGAACATTTTAATGGCTGGTTTGGCATTTTATGGCACCTTAAATTGGGTTCACTGATTAATCACATGATAAATTTAATGTGTAAATGAGGCCAGAGAGTGTAGAATTTTAAAAGCTGATTTAAAGCCCCTGATCCATGGAGCATTCAGCACAAAAAAACTGTTCATCATGTTTTAATTTTTTGGGTTACCCATCAGATTTTAAGAGATCTTTGGGAGAAACTTATTGAAATCCACTCTTAACCTTTCTGGATAACGTGAGATACAAATCTAAATAATACTAATAATGAAAGTGCTATAAAAATGTTGCCTAGAATCCTTTTAAGAAGAATGCTTACTCACACAGTCAGTTAATCTTTTATTTGCTCACAAAAGTTCATTGATAATCTCAGTTTTCTTAGAAAAAAATATATAACATTTTTAATAAACAAATTTAAATGTACATGTTAGGAGGATGGATATATAAAGCCCACCCTATTTGAATCTTAGACCAATTGGCAAGGTAATAACACTGTTCTGCCATGTAAGTTTTCCTTGAAAACTTAATAGTTATGATGGAGCGTACTAATAGGTGGTCAGTGGAGGATGAATTTTGAAGGCCTTTTTCCCTTATGCTTACTTCAGTCCCAGATTTAGCTGTTCATTCACTTATTCATTTATTCAACATAACTGACCATAGAGCCTCATTTGTTGAAACTACCACTTTTAAGATTTTTCCTTGCCATCAAAATACAGCGCACTCTGTGAGCACTTGTGTACTCTGGTTTAAAAGGCTGGCGTGAAGGTGTTGCAAGGCATGTGTTAAACTACCCTCCTCCAGACTTCTTCTTACTCACCAGCAATCCAAAACCCTGCTCACCCTCCCAATCCAGCAGCATGTCGATTCACATGCTGTGTGACCATCATGTTTTAGAGTGCTGTTTGATGTCAAGACTGGAATGCCCAGCAGGAAAGCCAAAGGCCTGGAAAAGTTGCAGGATTCTAGTCAGCAGTTTGGTGGCAGGAGTGCCATGTGCCTCTTTTACAAAAAAAATTCTAGGCTATAGGCTGGAGAGAACAGCATCAAGCCATTTATCTCTGCCAACTTGAGCCATGATTTGGAGGACACCCTGTAAGTAGTTTAGAAGAGGCCAAGAGCAAAGGGTGGAGAAGATGGCAAAACCTGATTTCTCGCCCCCCTGCCCCCATGTTAACATGGATGAGATCAACATCGGTACAATGTTTTTTGCTTTTTCCTTCAGCATTAACATTTGGCACACAACATGTTGAAAGCCAATTTAATGCTGCAATAAAATTATTGTGTATTTTGAACATTTTCATGATTGTTATAATGTCAGTTTTCATACAGATGTGAAATGTGATTTTTAGATTTTTTAAAAGTTTACTGAAGGCTTGTATGGGAGGGTGGAATGAAGATAATCTACAAAGAAGAAATTGTGTGACCATCTTTTACATAAATGTGTTTTTTCCATGTAATCTATTGCCACCTAAATTTGTAGTTGTTGTTATTATTATTGTGATTACTATTGTTATTATTTATAATATTCACAAACATTTTAACAGAGCCTTGTAAAATGCCGTGTTTTGTATAAATGGAATGGTGTGTAGTGAAAGCTTGAAATGTTAATTAGCAAATAATGGTTAATCATCCGTAATAAATACTTTCATTAAACATATTTATATTTATGATGTGGCTTTGTGTCTAATATAAAGAAATTCACTTTACTTTCATAAACATGTGTACCGCAGCTGACCTTCATCTCATGTAGATGCACCCACTATGTCCTTGTACAGCACCCAAGAGAAGATGCAGCATTTGCAATGATAGCTCAATAAATATTTAAGGGGAACTCCCCTTACTTGCCTTTGAACAGCATTTTTTTAAATCTGTGTAGCTCTTACAGAATATGGGATTTACCTTCCATATCCTTCAGTGGGATCCTTCCTTGATCCTTTATTGACAGTGGAAGAACAGATAGCTGAACCATCTCATTCCTTATATTGTTGGCTTTGGTAGTCCTGAGGGCACCCAGGCACAGGTATGATCCTAGTGCTATTGAAAAAATCTGTTTTTGTGCACATTAACTAGAGGAGGAGTTTGCATGAAAAGTACAGATTAAAGACTGTGATTCATCAAAGGTTGGTAACCATTTTAGCTCTGCACACATTTAAAAAAAAAAAAAAAAAAAAGAATAATTTAAAATGTTTAATATCTGAATAGAAAGCACTAATGATTGGGAAAAATACTTACAAAAATGAAAGATCATCCTCTCAAATATGCATGTTTGATTTTAGTATCTTGAATGTCTTAAGCTTTTTTCATGTTTTTTGTGTCATTATTCTTTAATTAAAGTCTGAAAGCAAGTCTGATATTTAGCTGCTGTGGATAATTTAGTTAAGTGGAAAGATTTGAGATTTGTTTTCTTACACAGTCATATATGTTGTATCAACAATACAAGGTTGGCTGTTATCTTCAATAACCCTTTACTATTTTTTCTTAATCTTAATAGGAAGACATCTATATGTATGGAGGCAAAATTGAAACAAATAGTGGGAATGTTACTGATGAGTTATGGATTTTCAACATACAGAGTCAAACATGGAGTACCAAAACTCCTGCAGTACTAGTGCATGGCCAGCAATATGCTGTGGAGGGTCATTCAGCGCATATAGTAGAGTTGGACAGCAGAGACGTTGTTATGATCATCATTTTTGGATACTCTGCAATATATGGTTACACTAGCATCATACAAGAGTACTACATTAGTAAGTTACTTTTAAATACTTTCGTTTCCCCCTGCTTTGAAACTTTTGTTTTTCTGATTTCTAATAAGAACAAATCTATTGTTTACAGACAGAGAAACTATTTGGCAAGCAAAAACCCTCTGGTTTAATTCTTGACCTAGAAACCTCCCCCCCCCTCACCCCGTGTCCAGCCCTGTGCACCCCCCTGCCCTGCATACCCCTCCAACCCCTCCCCC